CTTTTGTGGGGAAGTTACCTATAAATGTGTTTGTGGCCCCTTTTCATCTCAGTAATAAATTATGTTTTACGTTTTAATTCAGTTATTGACTGGACTTTATTAGCTCATCTGTTAATAACTTATCATAACTGTGTTTCCCACAGAATGACTGAGTGTAACTGTGGCGCAGATACAGCATGCTAGCCTTGAAAACCCAGCTGTATTCAAGGCTCCTTACATGCTTGCTAATAACTTTTAATAGCTGGGTCTCCGACATTGACAGCGTTGTGCTGGACAGATTTGTGCCGCTGTGTTAACGAGGGAGAGAGAGCGAGAGGAAGTGCTGCGTGAATACGCGCTGCCTGCAGCTCAAATACGGTTTTAAATAGGCCCAGTAAAAAAAATCGAAAATCAATATGTGGCGGTTAGCAAATGAACGTATGGGAAACACTAATTTATCTGCTCATGTTCAAACCTTTCTGCACATTCAGAATCTCTCCCACATATCTGAGTTCTCTGACATGTAAATAAAAAAAGTCGTAATGGGAGACTAACGTCATTAGCCTATTTAAGGAGAATTCATAATATTTTACTACATGCTCTGTACTGCATTACGTTACTGATTCGCTGGAAGTATCCCCTCGCCGTCTAACAGACAAAACTGGATGAGACGGGGAGGTGCTCATGCCGGGGGGAAACGAAACTAACCGACAACACCTGTGATCAGACAAAAAGCTCACGAATAATTCCACACACGTTAACTTCAGCACCTCTGATAAAGTGCCGCTTACAATCCCCAACTGTCCGCTTTGGCACAAACTGTCTGCGATTCACAGCGCGAGGTGGTTCCACGTCACTCGCTGGTGTCGCAGCGAAGTTGCTTTCAGGTTAAGTCCGACAGTAGAATATCCCTCTTGTAAATGTGTAACCACTGAGATAACAAGACTTCACGGTGTATTCCTCAGAGAAATAAACACCTTTCCACCAAGAAAGAGAACGTCAATTTTCCAGAGTTTACACAGTAAACGCCATGTGGGTAAAATTTTAGAGGTAACACTCTGACTTCCCGTTCCCGTGAAGGGAGCACGAAGCTGCACCACAAGTAGCTGACTGAGAAAAAATATCTTGTCCAGTCACAGTGGACTAAACCGACAGGTTTTAATGTTGCAGACCACAGTTTTTTGCAAGTAGTTTAAAGTTTAAACTGGTATTGTTGTGAATCTTAAGTGTAAACTCGCCTTAGAATTTCCAACCAACAAACGCCCCCCAAAAGCAGCTCAGCGCCCCCCCTTCCAAAATATTGCTTCCAGCGCCCCCATCGTCCCCGGAACGCCCCCGTTGAGAAACACTACCTTAAAGAAACATTGTGTGACTCTGTAACCTTTACAGCTGAAATGTTCATTTTGTACGGTTGGTTGAACAGAAAAAGTGATTTAAAGACATCACATCGGGCTTTACTTATTTGATATTTTTCGTTATGTTTGGACATTTTAGAGATCATACGAATAAGCATGTAAAAAACTGCAAGAAAAGCTGGGGTAGACAACATGGGAGAAACAAGCGAGAGGCAGCTAGATTTTGGCTGTGCTTCTCACAGTCCTGCAACAGCTGCGGATACCGGATTTGTTTTCTTCTTTGAGCCAGAGCATTTGATTTATTTATTGCCAGGATGTACAGAGAATATCAAAAAATACTTCTGAAATAAACTGCCTACCCCAGCTTTAATCCATCATTTTAAAAAAGCGTTACTTACAACCTTCGTATTCTTTTAGAAGGCTCTCAAGCAAATATCCATAGCCCACACTTGTATCATTAAGAGGATGTGACTTCAACAAGAGACCAGATTTTACAGGCTTGCTCAACCAGCTAAGCGTGTATCTTGTGCTTTTGGATCCTGTTGCCAGTCATGGTACCCTGCAGTTATGCTGACGGGCTCCCTGCCTCTGGCCTCAAATTGAATTCTCACACAGTAAATTGAATTGGAGCTGCTTCCCTCTTAAGATCCGAGATGGAAAGGAAAATATAATTAGGAGATTAGAGCGGGTGTGGAGAGAAATGAAACAACCGCAATGTGTGGAGTCATGAAAGTACCTCTGGTGACTCAGGGAGTCATCATGGTTCATGTGATCAGATCATCTTTGGCCTGAAACTGATCCATCTAAAGAGAGCATCAAAGGCTGAAGGCTGTTTGAGTAGAAAAACTATTCTAAGAGAGTAAAACAACTTCGATGACAACTAACGCAGGCCTGTGCCATGTTCAGTATAATATGCAAATGTATCCATCCTGTATTCTCAATTGCATGTATTAACAGTATGCAATATTCAATACATACTGTGTTTTTAGTATATAGAAAGTATGAACAATTTGGATTATTTGGATATTATGACTGACTTGATTATTTTATGAACTGATTCATATTTTAGTCTAGAAAATGTTAGATAATAGTGAAAATTGTTCTTTGCAATTACCCAAAACCATCGGCTGACGAAGACTGACTGATATGATGTTGAAAGCGCAGATAAAAGCTAGTAAGTGATCCGTTAGTTAGGGTTTTTATGTCAATTTACTGTTTTCAAGGTCTTTCATGCTTATATTCAATTTACAATATAATAGAGAACGAAACAGAAAATCCACACATTTCAGAATAATTACATTACATTTTTGTTATTTAAGTTACTTTAAACAATTGTTCATTTTAGTTTCAGCACCAATATACAGCCAACATGGACATGTTGTGAAACAGTAGTTTGCCACTTTTGTTGTAGGTGAATTGTTAAGTTTTACAGGCATAACCTAGGAAACAGAATCAAGAACGTGTAGGTAAAAGTGCTGGAAAAAACAGTAGCTCACAGCTTCTGTGTCCTTTAAGGATGGGCAGCCACTCAGGTCCTCAGAGTATTCCTCCTTCTCCATTACATTCTTGACATAAAACCAGACCCTCTTCCTCGCTCAAGAGGTCAATCTCTCTCCAAACTTGCTACTGCTCCTCTTTCACACTCAAACAAACGGCCATTTATTCCTCTTTTCAAATCCAAAGAGTTCCATTGGCATAACAAAGAGGTCCCCAAATAGTACACAAATGACACCATATTAGGGGCACATAAATACGCCCCTCCCTCGCTCCACATTCCAGTCTCTCTCTGTCCTCCTCACTTAAACCAGCTGAGAGTATGAGAGAGAGAGAGAGAGATTGATTTATGGGATTTTATTTTAAGACTTGGGTATTTGCACCTGTAACATTGGACGTACCTTTATCATGCAGTCCAGAATTAAGAAGGATTACCAGGTTCAACTTTTTGCCATGTTCATTCTGCTTTAAAATGAAAGTGTGTCAGCATGGTCAGCGGTTTACCAAGTCCAATGGTATAATTACTGAACTTCAAAACTATAATCTGTATGTCTTTCTCGCTTGTATCATCAGTTTCACCTGACTCAAGCTCAACCTTGAATATTATAAACCTGCACTGTCATTGAGAGTTTGCAGAAGATCCATTTCTGGCTGTTTTATTATTATGTGGCATCGATTCAAGGCTTTACATGTAGCCTCGGATTCTTAAACGCTGTCTCAGAGGTCTTAAAATTGTTTGTTTCTCAGTGCACTCTGTCCAGTGACAAATCCCCCCCGGTAGCTGTGTTAGCACGGCAGACCCACAGTTATGCATAGAAATCATACCTGTGTTGGAGTAAAACAGCTTTTAAATATGAATTTATTTGGCATTAAATGACCTGTATAAATCGTATATTTTACTTGCAGAAACGTGTAGTCAACCTGAAATTACTTGCAGACATCTCTCACATGTATTTCACACAACATTAACAGGCAAATGAGAAAGCTATCCTGAAGTAACGTTAGCTGGGAGCCCTGGTCCTGCCTATCCCATCAAACTAACGTTAGCTAAGAGGCTAAACTGGCTAACAGAAAAAGCTTAATTACATAGTACTGTAAGAAATTATCACACGACTAACTCAAACGATGAATAAGCGCCAACTAACATAAAAAACCTCCCACAAAGAGCATAACTGTCTGACAGGTCGCGTCTGTCTGGTTTAGCTGTCTGGCCAAAAACAAGCGAAACAGTTAAAGTTACCTTTTTCTATGAAGTTATTCCTCTGCTCCTCTTTGACACTTCTCTTATGTCGATGATAACTCAAATATATTCTCAGACATTCGTCAAAGTCCACGCAACAAGTGGGTGGAAAAACAACTCCTCCAAAGCAAATCAACACAGCAACAAGTTCATTATGCAGGCGACTGCAACCTGTTACCTTTTTGTCGGGGATGTAACTGTCCCGCCCAGCCTCTCCGGATGGAGCGCTGTGATTGGACCAGTGAGCTAACATAGGCGGGACTATAGATGTGAGCTGCGTTTGCTATTGGTCTCTACGTCAGTCATTCATTGTGCCGCACCGCTTTATGACATTTACCCTGAAAAACGGATGCCCGCATTTTAAGAGATAGCCTAGATAAAATAAACAAACAAACAAACAAAAAAAAACGACAGGTGTGACACAGATAAACAAAAATTTGTCAGGATCAGTGACGGACCAAGATGAATACAGACTGGTGCTCCCATATGTTTGTTTTTCCAATTTACCATAAGATGGCGCAACTATCTACCAGCTGGGCAGCATCATCCAGGACCCTTGACCACGCTTCGCTGCAAGTACACGACCTCCAACAACAGTAACCGACTACAGAAATTAGCAGCAGCTGAATGTACATGCAGTGTTCTACTCCAGTAGAAGTACTGTTACTTTAGAGATATTTTATTCAGGTAAGTGGGTGTGGGTTGTTTTCAGATGGCACTTAGCTTGTTTCAATATTTTAGTATGATTCACTTAATATCTTATTGCCAGGCTCCTATTGGCATTACACCAGCAACTGATAATGGTCGAAGGTTTTCAGAAGCTTCAGCGGTGTAATGAAATGATTGAAATGATTACAGTAAAACTCCTACCCCCTCCAGTACAGCCCCTCCCCCAAATCCAGCGACATCCCACAGTCTGCCTACACAACTTTCCTCTCCATCTCATCACTTCATCTGGTCTACAGACTGGACGCACCATCTCACGCTCCGGGAATGGGATCTTTACTGGGTTCAAAGAAAAACTTCGAGTTCTTTCGAGTTTACGCTCTCCAGAAGCTACTTTTCAAACTCCAGGGATAGTTGTTACTGCAAGTGCAGGGTGACAGCAGCAAAGAGTCACTGGCCAATGACTTCCAAGACGCACCAGAAGTTGTGAGGGGTTCCAGACGCTAGAAATCAGTTTAACACAATGAAGTGGGCTCTCTAAATTTGATGACTAGGCGATTGTAATAATTTCAGGTCACAGTAACTTTAACCGAGGCGTGCGTAAAATATCTGTGCGTAAAGTTGGAGCAGTTGGCGGATCAAATTCAGTTCTAGTGGGACCGCTAATGCGAGAAAAGATATCATATTTGTTTGATATAAATCGGTGAAAAGTGTTACTACATTGACAGCCATGGCAAAATGGTTCAGAGATTTTCCCATCAACCTAAAGAACGGAAATGAAAGGGTCCGTTCGGCATCTGAATCTGGTCCACAAACTCGACCCAAACCCTCGTTTTCTCGTGACAGTCTGAAAGGAAATCAGCGTAAAGATGGGGGAGTGGGGGCTTTACTGGCAGGGAGAAATAGGAAAAATTCGGCAACAGAACTGGGTCGTAACAACGCTGGTTCTGGTGGGACTGTCTGGGATAGTCTCACAACTGGAAAAGGTCGCAAGATCTCCAAGGTCGAGACTGGAACATCAGATGAGAACCGCCAGGTCAGGACCTCTAGTTTGGCGCAGGCGTACATCAGCAGGATGATCAAAGTGGACAAACAAGACAAGGCCCCCAAACTCAACGGGATAAGTGAACAGAAGCAGCCCGAGAACGAAAAGGGAAGGTCTGACATTAAAACAACGGTGAGTAACTTCTAGAGATGGAACAGCAGCTAATGTAAACGCCATGCACGATCTTTTGATCAGCTTATTTCATCTGCTATTTATTTAGAAGCAAACAAAACCAGACACAAGCGGTCATAGCAGATTCAGATTCAAATTCAATATACTGTACAGTGCAAAAAAAATCATCGTGGGCTTGAGGTCACTGCATTCCTTTGGGTTTTCACTCCCCACCTCAGTTCATACCCCTGTATTTGGTTTCCTTTGCTTTCAAAAGAATACAATGCAGTTTCACGACATTGTTTTAGATCAAACAGGCAAATACAATGTGCTGACCTATTTGCACAAGTATTTCTGCCTGTCGTTCCATTACTTGTCACTCATGTCATGGATAACACACACACACACACACACACACCCTGTATCAGATCCATCCCCGCCTTCCTGCTCTGTTGTCTCCAGGTAAATGTAACATCTGAGTAGGTCCTATAGCAGCCCAGCATTGTGCTTTTCTGACGGGCCTTTTCCTTCCCACAGCTGATTATCCTGGAGGACTACGCAGATCCTTTTGATGCAGAGAAAACCAAGGAGCAGAGAGAGGCTGAGAGAGCAGGAGTGAATGATGGGTACATGGAGCCCTATGATGCCCAGGTCATTATCACAGGTGAGCTCAGGGCTTTCGTCTTATCACAGCAACTACAGTTACATTATGGGCGTATAATGCTTTACTAATGTATTTACTGCGAAATATTCAAACCAATCCTTCTTCGACTCAGTGCTGCTCTCTGAGTTTTGGACTGTTTTGTCGGAGATTGCACTTTCTAATGAGTTTGCCATAACTGTCAATTCATGCAGTTGAGTACTATACATCATCAAAAATCTAACTGAATATGGGCAGAATCACTGAATTTGAAATATAGACAGGAAAAACAATACATGCCAGCTCTGTTCAAAGGGCACATTCGCATTGTCAGGGCTTTTTTGATAATGACAGGTCTCATTTGTATCATCATACAGTAATGTGTTTGAAATAAGTGAGTTCAATAAGTGAGTTTCTCTTTGATAAGCTAGTGACTTATATGCAAGCAAGGGATCACTTTTCCCACAAACTAGTTTCTCTGCACTCACACGATGTCACATTCCTGCTAAAGGGCAATTTTAAAGGGATTTAGAGCCAAACTAGACCCTTAGTCTCTCTGCTGACTTCGCTGGCGGTTGCCATAGGAACAGTGTTGTGCAGGGACAATGGGTGCAGCTTCCTCTTCCAACTTCCTGTCTCCTGCTTCTGTTTCCTTTGCCCCATTCTCTTGATAGGAAGTTGGCCACAGTGCCCCCCCCCCCCCCTCACACACACACACATAGACACATACATACACAAAATACTTTATGGTCCCTTACGTGTGAAGAGAATTGAAAGACCCCCTCACCCCTTCCCAAAACCTGCAGGTCCCCCCTTGGTCTCGCCCATTCACTTCCCAGCAGCCAGGAAGTGGCCTGGTCAGCCAGCCAATCAGCTGCTGTGTTGACCTTTTCTTCTTGTAGCTCCATTGTTTGGTCACACAATGGTGCAGACACACAGGCTACCTGTCAGACAGTGAAGAAACACAACAAGTGAAATCCCCCCGCAAAAATGCAACAAATGCAATTTATAGAGAGAGAGATTTTTCTTAATCGAGTTGGCCCAGTGAACACAAGTATTAGTCTACAACCTCTGCTTCAAACTAGTGATGATATCATGCATTCAGTTTCTGTATTACTGAAATCTAAAAAAACAAACAAATAAACTGCTACTGAAATTTGAGTTGAAGGACAAACTTACCAGCATAAAGTAAAAGAAATATGAGTGTATGTATGGATAATGTATTATGCAAATGAAGACTGGGACTTTCAAAAAGTGCACACCTGACTACAGGCTTTTTTAGGTGAAAAATGTATTGATGTTAACCTAGAGTAGAAGGGCTCACGATTGTATTATTGATTCAATGAAGTTCACTACATGATTATTTTACAGAATGAGTTAATATGAAGTGACATACCATTATTTTGCCATATTACAGATATGAATTTGTTTGAGATATGTTTAATGTGTGGTAACTCAAACCGAAGGGGAGACTCTGTTGCCTACAAAGCAGCTCATCTACTTAAAACAATGACACGACATCATGCTGGTAACTGCTTTTTCTATTATATGTGTGAAAACACACACACACACACATGCACACACGCACACTTTTGTCCAAGTGTGAGTCCAAAAAGCTGTAACAATGAATTCTATCTCCCAAAGGACTCATTCTGCTTCATTTAAAACCTCTTCTTTGTGACGTTTTGAGGCCAAACCAGCTCTTTTTAGATGCACAGTTATTAAAAAAAACACAAATCAAAAAGCAGAGGAGCCACTTTGGGCTCAAAACATTACACTTTTCTAAAACAAAAAAACACCTAACATTTTAACAAAAGCAGATGACAGTGTTGTGAGTCCTTTAGGAGATACAACGCTTTGTCTATTGTGAAAGTGAAAACCCTTCATCTCAATACTGTTAACTAATCACATGACAATTCTGCTGTAGAGGTTCGTAGACGGGGCTCCAAAGACCTGCTGAAAGTGTGTGTTCTGCTGGACCGAGGCCAGAGAGAGGGGAAGGGAGAAGAGGGAAAGCCCAAGCCCCCAAATATCTACGACACACCATATGAGGGCGGGCTGGAAGGCGACAGTGGGGGGGTGTGGATCCCTGTCACACGGCCAGAGTCTGACGTCCGTCCTGCTGGAGAGTACGAACTGCCCTGGGAGTGGAGAAAGGAGGACATTGTTAGAGCGCTGTCAGGTAGAGGAGAAAGGGAGAGTGGGATGATGGGAAGGGCGGGGGTTTGGGGTGTGGAGGAAGGATGCCATGAGTTTTATTTGTACAGTAATGCCACAACATTTTTGTGTTTGTTTTAGAGAGGAAACAAAACAATCCTGCGGAATCAATTTCCAGAGATGTGTTTACTTTGGTAGCTCTGGCATGCTTTGATAGAATTTTATTATGAAAGGTTGATATTGTCTCTCCTGCTTCCTTCAGCTCAGTTCGAGGCAGTGGATTGTTCTCCCACTAAAGAGAGCGGTTCAACCTCTGTCCGCCAGCAGCAGCAGCAGCAGCAGCAGCAACACACCCTGCGGCAGAAGAACTGGAACAATAAAACACTTGTACCATCTTCTCCATCCTCCCCCTCTTCTCCTTCCTTTCCCTCCTCTCCTATTCTCAAACTCTCCCCTCTCACACCCCCATCTCCCTCTTTCCCCACCCTCAAACTCTCATCCCTCTCACCCTCTTCTAGTCCTAACAAGCTTTCCCCTCCGTCTCCTACCTCCCTCAGTGCCCCACTGGATGGGGAGGCAGCCAAAGCGGACCCCAGCCTGCCCCTGGAGAAGCAGAGGTAAGGAGGGAGATGTTGCACATGTTGTATATACATTTAAGTAATGGAAAAATATGAAAGCATCTACACACTGGATTATTGCTCCAAAACTTTATTGGACTGAAACTGGCAATATTTCAACCCATTAAGGTCATCATCACTGTCTAACATTCAATAGACCCCATTGGCTAGAATATAATGTGCTAAAAAGGACAAAAAGGAAACCCCCACCCTCCAAAAAAAGAATGTAGGAAAAAATTATAATTAAATTTTCACATACCTCAGTATAAATACCAAATAATTTTTTTATATTAATATTTATACATTTAAGGAGTGGCATTCTGGCTCTCTATACATCAAAAAAGTCTGGGTTCAAATCAAAGATGCATTTATGTAGGTTTCCTCCTGTGCTCTGGTTTGCTCACACAGTCCAAAGACATGCAGGTCAGATGAATTAGAAACTCTAAAACCCACAGGACAGACTCCAGAGTCTCTGTGTTTGTAAATCTTTCTTTTGATGGTGTTGAAACATTTCTCATAAATTCTGCACAGTAATGTACTTCTTGTCCCCCTGTCTACTTTCTGTGTTGCTCTGCTTGTATTTGTTATGACAGTAAAGAATAAGTATATATATATATATATATATATATATATATATATATATATACTTAGGCTTTTACCTTTCCATCTGTTCCTGTTAGAAACTGTGGAAGAACAGCGCCCTCCTCAGTTTTGGTTGAAAATCAATTTAGCAAAAGTTGTGGAGCAATCAAGCAGATTTCCTGCAAGATCTGATCTGGTGAATCACAATGTCAAATACAGCTCAGAGACTGCCAGTCTTCTTGGCCAAAATCTCCCATATATTTTACACTTGGCACTTTAAACATTTTTAAGTAAAATTTGCTATTTATCACTAAAAGCGTGAGCCAGCAGCTGCCCTTGATAAGTTGCTGAACATAACTGCTGGGAGGGAGCTGCACCTTTGAAGTCATGCTTGAATTGACAGGAGAGACTCGTTTTAACTGTGAACCTGCTTGACTCATGTCATTGAGCATGGCCACTCGTTTCAGATGGAACATGTGGGGAACATGATCAGAGCACATTAGCATTTTTTCCTCTCATGTTGTGACTGAATGTCAGTATGTTTTGCCTCCAAGCATCAAGGCCACATACAGTTTATATATGGCTTTAACCTGCAGCCACTGTCAGAACCACCTTGTGTCCAAACAGGCCTCCCTTGACACCCTGCACAGCTACATACGTTATGTTTGTCTATTTTATTTATCTCTTTGGCCTCCCAAGTTCACTTTGACATTATTAACTCATTCAGTCTACAATATATCTCTCTGTTTGATTTATGACGACTGTAAATCTTTGTTGGTGTCTGTGCGTTTCGTTCCTCCCATCAGTCTCTCTCTCTATTTTTTCCCCTCTCACCATCATCACCTATCAGTAACTTGACATATGACTTATCTCCATATGTCACCATGCTATATGTCAGTGAACTGCTGTCTCTCTCTCTGCATCCCCCACCCCACTCTCTCGCCTCATCAAGCTGGTACCATGGCAGTGTGAGTCGGCAGCAGGCTGAGGCTCAGCTGCAGCGCTGCAGGGAAGCCAGCTTCCTGGTGAGAGACAGTGAATCAGGAACCAGCAAGTACTCCATCGCTTTGAAGTGAGTGCACGGACGTGTGTACATGAATTTCATTTGAGTGTGTTTGTTGAACACGGTACATGCAGGCCATATAATGCAACATGTAGGACATATTTATTTATAGCTCTATTTTTATCTACATTTGTTTTGCTGCATCACAATCTCAGTTTTTCTTGGGCTTAGAGTTACAATGGTGAAAGTGGGAAACATTTTGCTTTAAAATCAAATATGCTTTTCTGATTTTAATATTTTCTTTAATAATGCTACATGTCATTCTTTAATTTGACATCAAACAGTCCTGTTTGAATATGGGCATGGCATGGCACGTTATGTTTATTTTATAGACAAAATATATTTAGCTTTAACTTTTCCTTTAACAGTGATTGAGCCTGTGTTTTGCTTTTTTTTTTTAGGAGTTACTAAGGAGCTACAGTAACTGGCATTGTGTTGGCAAACTCTAAGGTGTTAATGCATGAGAATATGTGTCATTTGTAGAGTAGATACTACTCATAAGCGTGCCAGGAACAGGTTTTCTAGGATAATGGCTAAAATCCTGTGGTACAATTGTGTGCAATTATAAGCATGTGTGCGCGTGTGTGCATGTGCCTGAGTGCACATTTGTTATACACTGCTCATTCATTTGAGAGTCCACATCATTAACCTCATTTACACATCCACTGAACTTGGGATATGCACAGCCTCATTCGGGGAAATAAGAGTGCAAAGGTTTTAGTCACAGCATCTATATTATGTTTCCATTCTTCAGCAGCTTATACCTCTCAACTGTTGCTGTGTGTCTTGTGACTGCCTGTCTCTTCTGAAAATATATCTTTTCCTTTTGTGTGTTTTTCACTCTGTCTTGTTCCATTAGGACCAGTCAGAGTTGTGTGCACATCATTGTGGCCCAGACTAAGAGCGTTAAGGGCTTGGGCTTCACCCTGGATCAGAGCAGCTGCGTCTTCTCCAGTATCCCTGAGCTGGTCCACCACTACTGCACACACAGGCTGCCTTTCACTGGAGCAGAGCACATGACTCTGCAGCATCCTGTGCCCAGGCAACACTGAACATGCGTAAAGGACAAGCAAACACACTGGGACATAAATACATAAATGAGACTTGTAATACGCATGTATGCACAAATGCACACACATTAACTTGTTAATACATCCACACATACTCAAAGATATGCTGCTTTGGATTGTCCTGTGCACTTCATTAATGTATCCCTTATATCCCTTCCAGGCACTGACTAGTGGTCAAAGTCATACATTACAATAAACTTTGATCACACTGGTATAGTGGTAATTCTTCCCAAACTAAAATCTACACACACACACACACACACACACAAAATCTCCTCATGGGATGCCCTTAAACAGAGGTGCTAGCATCATCAATTAGCACCACGCCATCCAATTACGCTTTATCTGTGAGATGAATACACCTGATTAGAGTGTATTCATTCATCCATCTGACATGTCAGTCAGCCTATCGATCTAACCTGAAAATCATTTGCCATCACTCTCTCTGTCAAGAGAAAGAGCTTTATTGATTAGATAATTAGAACTAGTGTAGTGGGAAGGGTCTTTTAACATTACAGTACCTAGTCAGCAAAATTGTTTGAGTGTAACAGTGCAAAATAAATATGTGAATATCATCGTCCATTCTTGTGCCTTCACTGTAATGTAACACAAGGTTGTTGTGATTAAAAGACTATCTTACTTTTGTGAATTAACTGATCTGCTTCACCCTAAAATGTACCTATGCATAAATAGTGTATGTATGAAGGGATTGTTGTATATTGTCAGATTTTTGACAATTGCGCACCGAAGTGGGCTGTATGTTATTGTTGTAAGACTTTTATTCATAAAATAAAATAAAATTCATATAAACTGTTATTAATAGACATGCGGGAAGCAAAAGTCAAAGCAGGGTTCAAGGAAAAAGGCGGTGAAAAAGAGATGAGACACTAACCAGAGTAAATCTGTGTGCTTTTCTCTTTTAGCTGTAAAACCATTGACCTGAGTGTGAAATCAATTACAGTTATACACATGCAATCTCATGCATGCACACGTACTCACCTATTTGTAGCCAACAAATACAGACAAACATGAGCACATGCATAAGCACACAGAAATAGTGCACACACAAATATCATTTATTCACACAACCCAAAACGTGGTGTATTTAAATCCTCACCAAGACGCACGCATGAAGCTTCTCACAAAATACAGAGGAGCTTTATCCTCACAATGAAGCATGTGTGTTTGTGGTAAGATATGTCTTACCAGTAAACACCAGTGTATTAGTTTGCATGAGTATCTTTTAGAGTGTGTGTGTGTGTGTGTGTGTGTGTGTGTGTGTGCGCACTCACATGGGTGAGTGTGATTACAAGTGTGCCCATGTGTGCACCCATGTGTTCATTTATGTGCATGCAGTCCTGTTATGCGTGTGTGTGTTTGTATGTGTGTGTGTGAGTGAGAGAGAGAGAGAGAGAGATAGAAGGAGCGCGAGTCAGGATTTTTCTGTTCAGGGATTACCAGGTTGCCATGGTGATTAGTTTAGAGTGAGGTAGGGCCATCTCTATGGGGAATGAGGAGAGGGAGGAGAGAGGAAGGGAAAGAGGGAGGAGAGACAGGCTGCAATATAAAAAGAGCTATGAAGAACAGTGGCCACAGTGCCATACTAGCAATGTAGCTCCCCCACAGAATAGCCTGCCTGGTTTGTGAATGGAGTGCAGCAACATGTAATGTCAGAGTAAGTTAAAAGTAATTCGCGCCTCTTCCTGTCAGCTCACAAAGTCAATTTTGGAGTGCTTTATTGATCGTATGACAACTCCTCAATGGGTCAAAGTGCAGGTTAGACTTTGGTGCTGGAAGATACTTCAGCAGGGCTGATAATCTGTTTTGTGTGAGCCTGAACCCAGTATTTTACAGTTGAGGACCCATCCCTGATTTTGGCCATTCTACTACCCAGCGTGTCACAAGCGGCAATGTTACACAACAACAGACAGTGCTAACTATCACCCCTATCACCTCCTCTCTTAATTAAATCAAAAAGTAGGTCATAACAAACAAGAGGCCTGGGGTGCTGGACATGAATCTTGCAGTGCTTGTCAGTCTGTTTTTGGGAATGTTACATTTTGTAAATGGTAAAGCTTATCTCATCTTGTCTTTAATGCTCATTTGAGTTTTCCTGGTCTTACATATCATTGCTGTCTACCATGTGTATCAGTTTTTTTTATTTTTTATTTTTTAGATAAACTGAAGGAATATGTGTTCCTTAATGGGCTGAGAAAATGATCCTACTTCTTAAGCTAAATAAACCATTTAAAAACCCATTAGGGTCTGAAAACTGCATTGCATCACATAGTTGAAAACAGGGCTGTTTTTCATTGCTCAACACATTTTGGAGATGCATGGTTTTCACAGGGCAGCAATGGTATGCATAATTTCTATCACCTGCACCAACTTATCAGTGGTGGAAGAAGTATCCAGACATTTGAGGGGTGATAGCAGTGTGAAGCATCTTCAGTCAAGTCCAGTTTCTCTTGATTTAATCCTCCTTGGGTAACCATAACCTGACTGATTCAGATCATTTACTTAATTATTACTTACATAATAGCAGGAATACCAAAATAATAAAAATACAGATTACATAAACAGAACTACACAAGCAGAATCTTACAGAAAAGTACCAAAATTATTTTCTTAGAAATTATATGAAGTGATTATTATTGCTAATCTACTACTACTACTTTTTATAGCATTGGATCACTGAATCTATAACAGTAAGACTACATCACATTGGATGGTATACATAAGTTTTAAATGCAAAATCTTAAAATGCAAAGTAACAACAAAAAGTATAACATTTTTCTCTGAAATACAGTAAAGAAGTATAATGTAAGATCAAGCAGAAGTACCTCAAAACTGTACAGTATTGAAATTCCAGCACTGTAACTAATAATTTCTTATACTTTGTCTACACTATTAATCTGTGTATAGTCTGTGATTCATAGATCAGATTTGTACATTGTTAATCAAAGTGTTGCCCAGATATGACAGAACCAAGTAATAGCAGCCACCTGAAGACAGAATGACAGCAAGAGAGGAAGGACCAGAGGAAAGAAGCGAGAGAGAGCGAGAGAGAGAGAGAGGAGGGGAGAGAGGGTGAGGGGGTGTTAGGGGAAGACAAGCACTTGTGGGGGTCCCAGCTTTTAAATAATTCAGAGAGACTCACAGCACTCAGTGCAGAGGAGGAGCACTGTCAGGTCAGCTCATTCACTGCAGAGGAGAGGTGGACTGTACAGAAAAGAGGGAGAGAGGAACAGTGTATAAAGATAGCATGAGAGAGAGGAAGACTACAGTGAAAGAGTTTGCCTATGTGTGCATGCATATGTACATTTGTGTGTATGCTTTGTGTGCATTTATGCATGAGTGTGTGTGTGTGTGTGTGCACGTGTGCGTGTGCACGTGTGTGCTGTGTGCCAGCTGCGCATGTGTATTCTTTGTGTGTATCGGTGATGAAAATAGACTAAATGAAGGAGAAACAGGTCGTTTCCTCCTGGAGCTTTCTGGTTTCTCTTAGTCACCACGGCAACCGCCTCCTCCCTCCATCCTGCACTCCTGTTTACTTAGTTTACTCTTCCCCTATCCATCCCTCCCATCCTCCCACGCTCTTCTGACCCCCCTCCCCCACTCTTGCTTTTTGAGTCCTGTACCCCTCTTTATTTGCTGCATTCGCTCCACCCCTCATCATCCAAATCACAAACATTTCTCTTGTCGCCAGGCACCCGACTCTCAGCATGGCCCGCAGTGAGGATGTTGCAATATCCAGAATTAGCAGCAAGTTTCTATATGTTCGCCCCAACTTATGTCTACCTGGCTACACTTCTTCCTCTTACCTGCCACATTCTTTCATCCCTCCCCATCTTCCTATCTTGCTCATGTGTATTTGAATCTGTGGATGGGGATTTGAGGTTACTTCAGTGCCTAGAGAAGAAGAAACAAAAATGGACATTTATTGAAAGATAAGTGACAGGAAAGGAAAAATAGAAAGAAGAGACCAAACAGGAGAAGGCAAGACATGCCCCTCCAGCTTTTAGAGGGTGAAGATTATTCACAGAATGATGACTATATTAGGCTCAGGCAGTCCTGGAAAGAAAGGTGGTGTGAGGTTATTTTAACAGCAAAGATGTGAGGCGTGTCAGACAACACATACCTGCAATATTTATTTTAATTTCTTTACCCTACATGATTATATTTTAAAATGTTTTTTCTCTGTAGAGTATTTTGCAGGTAAGCAAAAATGCTTTGATGCAGATGTGTTTACATGTTGCTTGATGAAAAATACATTCTAGAAGATATAATAAATATCACTTCTGCCAGAACTATTTGGCCTGAGGCTAGATAAAGAAGATGGATCTTAAAGACACCATTAAGTTTGGCAAGGTCACTATAAAGTCACTATTAACAGCACAAACACGCTCTACGTGCCTGAGAGTGCTGAATATTATATGGTGATGGGTGACTTTGTGCGGGGAAGACACTGGCATAGTTAGCTGAGCGGTGGAGCCTCTGAGGTATGCCACATCCTCGCCTCCCGCCTCCTCCCACTGCCCCTCCGCGCGCCCCCCGCCCCGCCCCCACCTCTCCAGCGCGTCGCATCGCAGAGCGGTGTTCAGCACGGAAAGCCAGCAACGCACGACCCAGCGCAGAGCTCACCTGGCCTCGCCGATATATTTCTGTTTTCCTCTTCTCGGACCGAAGAAGTGTGGACCGACGGAGAGCCCCGACGTCACCATGCCAGGTAGAGAGTGAAGGGGTTTGGGTCTTGAGGAGGAGGGGAGTAACACTGCGGGCGTGCTTGGGGTGGCCTCTCCATCGCGGTGAACACCTTTCGGGCTCGGAGCGCGCTCGGACGCACGTAAGATGATGGACGGCTGGCCGCCGCTGCTGCTGCTGGCTCTCCTCGCCATTGCGGGAGGTGAGTAACTTGTCCGTCTAATGGCTCCATCGATGCGCTTTTGTGTGCATCGTCACCTTTATTGGGCCATTGTGCATTCAGGGAATCTGAATTCTTTCTTAAAAGTAACGAGTGAGTGTGAAAACAAAAAGGGATGGTTAGATGCTGAGGAGAGGCAGTGATGGAGAAAATGACTCTTTCATTGCTGTGTCACCATCTTTCTCATAACGGCAGCGAGCGCGACGGAATGATGTAGTGGAGAAATATTGTCCACTCCATAAATCACATGCGCACAATGTAGAGACAGCAGCAAATGCAATTGCTCTCAACCGTTTAAAACCTGAAAGAAATCCTTTAATTTAGGGTATTTGTTGCATTCACTAAGCCTGTGGTGCGTTTAGAGACCCTACTTTATAAAGTACCACCTTATCACAATCATATTATTGTATGGACTTCTTGGAGCCTACTGCTATATTTATTGTTGTTTGGTTTTGGTGTGTATGTGTATGTATGTGTGTGTGTGTGGGGGGGCAACCCAACATAGCACATTGTTTTTGCTGCTAAATATTTATAACAATAATAACATTAATTAGGTGCATGAAATAACACACAAAGCAGCTATAAGTTGTACCTACCTACCTCTAAAAACCTCTGAGACAACATTTATCGTTTTCTCCCTAAATATACTTTAGAGAGGGAGAAGGGAATTATGTTATTTATCACCCACTTATATCCCATCCCTCTCTCTCCCTCTCTCTCATTAACACTGAGGTCTTACATTGAGTGGGCAGGTTAATGAGAGGCCCTTTGAGCTAAAACAACTTCTACATCCTGTCATCAAAGGACAAGTGATGTGTCATCCAGCAGTATGGGAAAAGCCTTTTGCCTCTGTATAACAAATAAATAAATGATCTTCATCTTTTAGGACATGCACTGGGTAGATGAGTCTTATTTATGACACTGTTGCTGCTGCAGTTCATTGGGAGCAAATGAGGTATATGGTGAGTGAAAAGCTATTAGGGTGTTTGGACATATTTTACATCCCTAAATTGGCTCTAATTTGGTGTTAATTTCTGCTCCATAAGCTTTTGCCCCAAGCAGAGCGGGAAAACACATGAGCTGATTGGTTGAATGATGGCCACCTTAATATTTTCAGCCAATCCATAGTAGTGGCAGGGCAGAGGCCATCTCAGTGCCTCCGAGCAAAAAAGACTGTTTGTCACTGACTGTGTGGGAGCACACATAACCACACACAGTAACACATACACACAAATGCCTGGCCATCTGCCTTGCTTTCTCTATGTCACACATAAACTCGTACTCTTTTAGTCACACACACACACACACACACACAGAAAAAGAGCTTTACACAATGCAGTTCATCACAATACATCCAGAAGCAATCACAAAGGCATGTAGTAACTGATCAAATGCTTTGACCTCCATTAACCTGCCATTTATGATTTCAAACACCAGCTCCACACACACACACACACACACAAAACACATTTAGAATTTTAATAGTAGGCTTATGTTTGATTTTAGTCATAATAGACATAACATAACAGTGTTAAATTATATTACACTTTTTAAAAAAACACACTAACAACGTGTTTTAAGAACATTGAGATATGCATACGTATATAAGAATATCATTTCAAGCACCATTATCAGATTATAATAATTATTCTTATTGTTATAATAGTAAGCTTTAAGTTTGATTTTGTAAATAATTTCAATAAAAATATGATAATAAAAACTCATAAGAAGGTATAAAATACATCAAATATATAAAGTGTACAGGAGGAAAATGTAAATAGTTTAAGAGGTTAACTAAATGAAATAATGTCAGCACAAATAAAAGGAACTAAAAATCTAATGAAAAAATACAAGTAGAATTAAGAACTAGCTAATAACATCAAATATGACAAGAATGTACGTGTTTTTGTTCTAAACTTGTGTGCATAACATTCTTGTTCCCCCGAGCAGTGAGATTAGCTTTGTTGGTTGATCGTTCCTGAGTTCAAACAGAGCGATGTGCACTAAAACTGAAGATGTTACCAAAAATGAAATATCACTTTAAGGAGCTTCATAAGCAGTGTAGTACAAATGAGTCATCTTCCCTTAAGGGAGAAAATATGATTAGCATCATCCTCAGAGACTATAAACTCAATACACACACAAACACAAGTTTGAAGAAACGCTCACATGGCCGCTCGCACACCTGGAGCACAAGTTTATGTTAACACATTTCAGAGTTTCAAACAAAGAAGCAGCACAACACATAATTGTATATAGTTATACAGTTATATCCATATGCATTTTTATTTGTTCACATTAGCCCAAAATGGCACTCATGCATATCACAATTAACATATAAGAGGAGTGGACGGAAAGAGACGTGTGCTCTTTCATGCACAACACACACACAAAATCTCCTAGTGTCAGAGCAAATTTTTGGAGCAAAAATATTGGTGGTAATCAAATTAGAAGGAGAAAAAGTCATAACTTTGAACCTTCAGATGTACAACAATACTTTCTTACATAGTTTAACATTCGGTGGCTGTGCAAGGACGCTCAAGGACATTTCACCACCTGTCTCAGACACTGCCGTAAGGATGTGGCCGTCCTGTTGTGTGAGGAGGATGTCTCTTGTCATTTCCCCTGCAGGCCATGCATAATAAACAGGTCTGTGGTGCTGAGTTGACCTGATGCAGGGGTTACTGGATATGGAGCACACTGTGCGACAGTCTCATCAACCAAGGACGTGAAGTGTACTTGGATTAGTTTTACAGCACTTTTATCAGCTGCTTCTTAAAACATATGTGTTTGATGCTCTGCCAAGCTGTCCTCTTTGCATATGTGACTGAGTGTATGCACACGCCATAATCTTTGTCCTCTGCTCTATGAATGCACTTAGTGAATATCAACTAACCATTTCCTTGGCAGTGCTACAGTCTAGAAAGTTCTGCTCAGTGGGTTTAGCCTGTCATCACTTTCTGCTGCACTGTTCCAGCCCACTGATCTCTGCAGCATCTCAACCTGCACATTACAGCCGCCCTCCCATTGTCTCTCTCGCTCTCTCCCTCTTTCTGTCATTTTCTGTCTTTATCTTACTCTCTTATTTTCTCTGTGTCTCTCTCTTTGGACTGACTCCCAATACATAGCAGCAACAGGATCAGATCAGCGGAGAAGGGCTGGATCTGCGATTAGAAATGCCCAGCGGTCACACAACAGAGGCCTGCATTTGTATGTGAGAACGTGTGTGATTTCGTGTGTAAAACTGTGCTCTCATGTGTGATTTGTGCAAGATTGTGTGTGTGTGTGTGTGTGTGAGTGTGTGTGAATGAATGAATGTGTAGCAGTAGTAGCAACGCACACGGCAGTGTGTGCCCCTGGAGATTAGAGGCAAGCAGAGGGAGAGCACAGAGGTTTAATAGAAACTTAAGCAGTGGAGAAGAAGAGGCAGATAAGAGACGGTTGGTAAGTTAAGAGTTTAATTTTGACTTTGTCTAAGAATATTTAAAAGAAAAAGGGGAAAAAAGGAAACGTTGAGGCGAAGCTGTGCTTAAGCTCCTCTGATGCAGGTGTATGTAAAAGTGTATTCAAGATAACACAAACCTAGTGATAACAGGAATGAAAGATAAAGTTTTATTTTTTAATCACTGTAGAAATGATCATACATCTAAAAGCACACTGGCCTGAAAAAATACAATAAAACTAGAGAAAAAGATGCTTATAAACAGAAAGTTATGCTTTTGTATAGAATAAATAAAATGATTTTGATCAAGAGTTCTACAAGATTAGACATAAGCCCAAATTTGATCTAGATATGTGTATTTCTGTCAGACAGGAGACTGCTTCATGAGCACACATTATTATACACATTATTCTCAGGCAGCAGACCCGGTGATAACACAGCCTCAGGATTTATGGCTGTCCAAATAATAGCTCAAATAATAGTTGTTATTGGAGACATTATGCAGTTCAAATTTTATTGCAATCCCTGAAATATGCACCACTATAGATAGAAAGCCATACCATCTTCCATCCAACAGTCGAGCTCCATGGGCTGTAAATAATACAAATAAACCATCCTTTATATCCCAAATAGGAGGATTTCTGCACATTTTAAATCATAGCTTCTGACAGTGAAGCTTTTCAACTGTAGATTCTTTAGTCGTCAGGTTCTCCTTACATTTCCCCACATTCCACAATGTTTGATTATACCTTATATATTCAAAAATATTCAAGCCATTGTTTTCACTGCACAATAAATGGAAAACTTGCATATATTTAGTATCATTGGAAACTTTGTAGAATTAGAAAAAGATCTTTGTAGGGTCAATAAATAAACAATATTACATTTTTATTTTTATGGTTGGATCAGTGCTTGGCATGCATTTGTAATAACGGGCCTAACAAAAGTGTTTTTGGAGGTTAAGGCCTATTTGTAAATATAAAGCTATGATATGATATATTATTGTTAAAGCATTAACACAACAAAGATATCTAAGATTTGTTCCTCAACAAATGAAGCAGTTATGGATCCACAGACTGCTGTCTATTTTACTCAGCACTTAAATTTGATTGGTTGATCTTTTGTCAGTGCTTCTGCATATCTTAATATTTATTAGGATTGTAACTAATGATTATTTCCATTATCAATTAGTCAGCAGATTACTGTCTTGATTAATACATTAATAGGTTGGTTTTTTGGACTCCAACTTGCCAAAAATGTCTTGTTTAGTCCAGCCTACAGTCCAAAACCCAAAGATATTCAATTAACAATGATGTAAAAAAGACAGAAGAAGTAAATCTTGCATTTTTGTGTGAAAAATGACCTAAAAGATTAATCAATTATTTGAATAGTTGCCTTTCGATCGGCTAATCGATTATTATCGTTTGAGCTTTAACATATGTCTAAATATTGATTGTATTTGTACTATCCGGCTTTGGCCTATAAAAAGCCAAGCTGGAGGAATTTGCAAATGCTTCTTTTAACTCACATCCTGTAATATACTCTTCCACATTTTATTTCCATGTCAATATTTTGATTTTGCCAGCTTGTCATCTTGTTTCCTATATCATTGTTTTTGTGTATTTATGACTATTATATCCTGCTCTTTTACGTGCATTTTTTTTCTATCTTTGTAATGAATTTCAGCAAATACAGTATACAAATAAAGGGCTAAGTTTATATTAGAATTAGTAATAGAATTAACATTAGTGTTAGTATTACTATTATGATGAAGTACAAAACTGAAGTAGATGCATTAGGTTTGTTAGTGGCATTGTTGTTTCCTCATCAGTACTAATTAAAATAGCACAAACTCAGCTAGCCATACTTTTCTTGACATTGGAGTTTGTTGAATTTGGCAACAATAAAGCTCCTGCCCTCAGTTAATCCACAGTGAGATGACTTTGTTTTTAAAATTCTGTGACATTGCAGCTGGATGGAGGATCAATATTAATATCTCAGTTCTATGAGCACTGTAGAGCCAATTGGGTGTTGCCAGTAGATCAATGAATCTCTCCATTATTGATTTAAGAATATTTCAGCATAAAATGTCCCAGCTGCAGCCAGAAAGCCTCTCTGGCAGAGCACAGAAAGCGACCCTACTTTCCCTCCAACCTTTTCTCATTTGAGCGAGCTGTATAAATAGAGATCATCACTGTAATAGTCTTAGTGGGATAATTCAATTTTGCTCACGCTTCCCCCTCATTTTCTCCACATTTGTCTTTACAGTGTGTGTGGACTCATAGTAGCTTAGAGAACTGTAGACAATACATGCTGTAAAATCTAATGATTGGTGATTTTATTTGATCAAACACGTTTACTGTATACAGTGATTTTATGAAAATCACGAGTAAGACGTACAAACCTTCTGAGGTTGATCAGCCTGCTAAGATCGATGGCTGTTTAAAGGAAGGACAGACAAATGGATGTAGTTGTGAAGCAATCGAACACTGAACATGGCTACCATCTTGTCTGCTCTTGTGCTGTGTTACTGAGATGTATGCGTGTGTTTGCATGTGCATTGTGGTGTGTAACTTCCCTAGCTCCGGAGTCTAATGGGGAGCCATGCTGAAATATTCATAGTGTCACATTAAGTTTGCAATATTTGCACTGGAAAACAACCACAATACAACCTGAGCTACCAGCAACACTACAACCACTCAGCTGGGCCTTTAGTGTGAGTGTCATATGTGGAGATAAGAGAGAGATTGGTCTTTCTTTGGAAGCGTTAGTAAGTGCTGAAGATGAGCTGTTAACATCCTTGTGCAGTGATCAGGCTGGAGTGTGTGGAACTTTTGCAGTCTTATTCTTGAGATAAGAAAAGCCCAGAATAGACTCTCTATAAGCTCTCTGTTTGGGCCTCTAATTTGTCTCAGTGTCATAAAACATTAGTCTAGACTTTCATCCTGAGCCCATGCATGCAAATATTTTTGTAAAAATAAAAATAATCATAAAACACAAAGACTCAGTTAATGTCTAAGCCAAGACTATGCAATCCTACAAAATTGTTATTCTTTTTTAATAATAGAAAATGTTTTTAATTAGATTTTTTAATCTGCATGTCGATTCAGTGATTTGCATCACTATAGCACGTAGTGAGATCCACATGCCAGGCTTAAAAAAAAATATTAGTAAGTACAGCAGTTGATTGTTAACTGTTCGAACGCAGCCTATATCATAATAACCTGTAAGAATTACAGCTGTTCCCAGAAAACAAATGTAATGTCAACAACAGACAACAGAGATGATGTTTGAATTGAAATTATGTAATAGCGGTACACAACAGATCTATTACGTCCAATTAACTGAACCAGTTTGGCCTTGGACTTTGTGTTGGCTCCTTGTAAATTTGGTCTTAGTCATCTTCAGTGGTCTTTGACGGAGGAGCTCTTCACTACCAGAAAACTCCCACACTCCTAATGTAGCTACACAAACGATATGATCCTCTTATAAGGTTTTGTTGAGGGTCTGGGGTCAGTTACGTGAGTTTTGAAGCACATACCTTGCATTAAAATATGTTCATAGATTTAAGTGCACAGATGCTTCAAGATGCTTAAGCAAACAAAATGTGACACTATTCTCACACACTGTGTTTACAAAGAAGAAAAACTGAATATCATTTAGATAATTTAGCAAGACTTTTAGGTTGTCATGGTTAGTTTGAGCATGAAACTACCATTTACATTATGAGCATGGCTGATGGAAATGTAGACCTCTTCTATTTCAGCATTGTTTAAGTGAACTGTATTCGCTTTCTGTCTCGTTCGACAGTGTTATTGCCTTGAGCTTCTGGGAATAATATGCATTACTCATATGGCTCAGACACAGACAGTAATGTTTATTTCCCTCATGAATATGTGCACACAAAAAGACACACATAGGCCTAAATATACACATACCACACTAACCAGCTCTTGTGCACAATAAACAACCAGAGTGCTACACACATGTGCTGACAGGATGTGTATTGATAATATGGGATTAGTGAGGGAAGGGGCAATAAATGGACAGTGGCTGTCAGCATTGGGGAGATGGAGATAACAGGAAGGAGAGAGTGATGGAGACAGTCAGGGGAGTGAGTGAAAAATATGGGCCAGCCCAGATGATGGAAAGACGGAGAAGAAAGTGTAAAAGAAAATGAGATGGAAGAGACAGGACGGAGGATAGAGCAGGAGATTAAAAAGGGGGGGAGAGCGAGGAATTGCGTGTTTAGTTTACAGGGCATGAATAGAGTCCTCATTGATCCAGAGACAGAGGCTATCATTCCTGTTCAGTGAGCACAGCCCTGCTACAGGTCAAGAAGGAAGGGAGGAGGAGGAAGGTGGGGATCAAGGGAGAAATAGATGGGGAGGACTGAGTGTCAGAGAGGAGCTCAGAAACAGAAACACATTCAGAGGTGCACAGATATGGTGAAAAACATCACATCATCATCATTTAATTTGTTAATACAAATGATAGGGCTGAAACAATTATTTTCATTATTGATCATTATTTGATTAATCATCCATTAAATTGAATAATTTGATCTATGAAACGCTCATCACAACTTCCTAAAGCCAAAGATGATGTCTTCCAATTGCTTTTTTTGTCCCACCAACAGCCCAAACCCTAAATATCAATATCAATTTACAATGATATAAAACAGAAAAAAGCGCCCTCATGTTTGAGAAGCTTTTTTTTGGTATTTTTGCCTTTTAAATGACTTGATTTTCTTTGGCTCAGCTTATTAGTTATTGAACTTATTGTGTCATGGTACTAATGACACATGACTAAATTGTATTTTGTCAAGCAATTGTTAATTCAGTCAATGTCTTATTAATTTTTTTTACATGCAGATGATGCGTTTAAGAGAAGTAACATGTGTTCTGTGGTTTGTTTGAGTCTTTGTCTTTTATTCTATATTATTTTGATTGCTCCTTTTCCATTTTTTATTTTTTGTATTGTCTGTTATAGTCTATAACAGACAATACAATTTCTATTGCGTGTAAGGACCCTCTTGAAAACGAAAGGGGTTCATCCTTAAATTTAGAAAAAAATAAAAATTAAACCCACATAGCCGTAGCCCAATTTAATGTTCTGCATGTTTGTTTTCCTGCACCGTTAACAGCCTCTAAAATAGCAGGTTTTAAATATGACAACATTGGTACAAAGTTAACAACAAGCAGCCTGTGTTTATCTTCAGGGGGAAACGTGTCAGGGAATTGTGAGAGGGAAAAAATGCAGCACAGGAGCGAGCAGATGCCAGAGAGGCAGGGAGTGAATAGCAGAGAGAGCATCCATCGTGTCTCTCAGTAAAACGCCTTCCTTCCTGCGTGGGGCAGCTCTGCCTGCTCTGTCGGAGGGGGGTGAGGCAGGTAAGGGGAAGCGAGAGATGAAGTGAAATAAACCCAATGCAAAAAAAGACTGGCAGTTGGGGAGAAGTGCGACACAGCAGAGGAGAAAAGATTGAGACAGAACAGAGGCATGAAGAAAGAGCGGTAGAGACAGAAAGGATAGCGATAGAGACATTCAGACTGGTTGACTCATTCTTATGATGTCACAAGTGTGTATCAAGCTGTGCTGACGTGCTCCAGCTGGCAGTGATGAGTAATGCCATGGTTCAAAGGCTGTGTATTCACGAAATACATGGATAGCCAGCTCTCAATGTTAGCAGTTAAGGCAGTGGCCAAAGGGAGAAACTCAACAGCCCCACTCATGTCCTGGTCTTCCATGATTATACTACATATGCCATATGATAAAAGTAGTTTTAAGAAATCCCAAAAGAGACACAGTAGGCCTCAACTCTTTTGTCTCAGTTCGATGACGATGATGAAGACAATAAGTTCTCATTACAGGTGGCCTCGGGGCAGACACAGAGGAGCGGTTGGTAGAGCATCTCCTAAACCCAGCCCACTACAACAAACTGATCCGTCCTGCGACTAATGGCTCTGAGCTGGTTACTGTGCAGCTGATGGTGTCGTTGGCCCAACTCATCAGCGTGGTGAGTGTGCACATGTCATGAGGACGATCCAATATGATATTCGTCATTTCATTTTGGTCACACATAAAAATAATTTCGCCAAAAGATTATATTAAATACACACATTTACATACTCTTGCAAAAATGATTTGTATTCAGGTCTGATGGTTAAAGCTGAAAATTAAGTTGTCCAGTGAGGCCTGAAAATTTCATAGAAAATCTATAGAGACCATTCTGAGAAATTTTGCTTAAAGACAGACAAACAAGCAGCGGTGCAAAAAGTATTAAGATATTGTACTTAGGTAAAAGTAGCAGTTTAGTAGCACAATTTATATTCTGTTACAAGTAAAAGTACTGCATTCAAAATTATACATAAGCAAAAGTTACTCAGTATTAAAGGAAAATGTACTTAAGTTATAGTTCTCATTATGCACCAAATTGTTACATTATGCAATAACATGTAAGTTGCATTTTAATGTTGTAGCGGTCTAATTGTACTCATTTTAGAAACTGTTCGGTGATTTCATGTAATGTACCAATGCATTGTATTTATACCGAATGCTCATTATAGGTTTTTAAAATCTCCATCTGAAAACTTTACAAAATGGGAATTTGGAATTTGAAAGACCTGGGCATTACCAAGCAGGGACGCTCTAATGAAAGACACTATCATGTTACATATTGCAAAGTATACGATCCAGTGTTTTTTTAAGCTTGACTCAGCCTATAGGGAGTAAAATTCAGGTTATCTTGGCTTTGCTGCATCATTTTCATGCCGTGTCTTCTTTTTCTACAGCATGAAAGAGAACAGGTGATGACCACCAATGTCTGGCTAACACAGGTGAGACTTCCCACACTACTCCTCTTACCGTCTTAACACAGTAACCAGTCTTCCACACAGAGAAGACAGAAAGATTATTTAAATACAGACTGAACAATGAATGTAATATTTTATTTTAGATGGTTTTACCATGGATTTCACAGTTTTACTGCCAGGTCAGTGGACCTGGAACTTGGTAGTGACAAATGTGACTTAGACAAACAAGAACACTGAATAATGCTCTCGCTATACTACAGTAAATACGCTGATTTACATTTTATCATGTATCGTCATATATCATGGGACACAGTGTTATTACACAAGTAGATCATGGCATATATTACTGCAGGGAACAGATGCATCCCTGTGTTCCACATATTTCACTCGTTGTGGCTGTCTGAGCAGCTCTAAGAACTGACATGACGGGTGAAGTGTCAGACAGTGAGAGAGACATCAACAATACAACAATACACATCCTCGAAATCCCAAAATCTCACAGAACAAATATGACAAGTGAGTTGAAATTTATGAGCAGGAAACAGATTTTTTTTTCACTTAAAATATACATTACTGATGATACTAAAAATGAACTGCACAAATGCCGATGCCCTATTTTTCAGTTGCTAAATTTTGCAGTTTGTGATTTTGGAAGAGCTCGACCCATAACCTCACCCTGTGAAACCTGTGAATAATAGTCTGTGACTGCGCTGTGACCCTCTTCTACATGGTTGGCTCTTTATGTGCTTACAGCTGAGGCCTTTAACATGGTAGGACATGTACAGCAGGTGTACACATTTACACATATTAGGTATACAAATTCAATTAATGCATCATAGTTACTGCAGATGACCTAGCATGGGAATTACAGCTCCAACATGGCCATAACATAGAAGAGCCAGAGAGCTGTTGCTGCTGCAGGTCGCAGAGGCTTTATTGTGGCAATGTCAATAAATGCACAACAACATACAGAACAGGATAATGTTTTCTTTTACAAAAGGTTACACAGAGGACATGAAGGTGTTTGCTGATGCACTGTATAGGCCATATTAATCATGCTGATTGGTTTGTGGCTGGGTGTGTTTAAAAGACCGTTCGGGGTCAGGGTTTACGTGAGCCATTCACTCTCTCTCTTTGGCTTATAGCTAAAAGTATGATGTAAGCATAGAGGGACAGGAAGGACAGGATGTTCCCTGGGATTACGTGGCTTGTGATGTGTCATATTGACCACCGACTGACCGACGGACAGACACAAAGACAAACAGACCTTCTCCTCTCTGCTTCTCTTAAGACGTCGTCCTGCTGCTATGCGAGTGGCGGATGAGTGACTAAGCATTTTGTTTTTATTGGCCCTCAGGAGTGGCAGGACTATCGTCTGACTTGGGTCCCAGAGGAGTTTGATGGAATGTTGAAGGTCAGGCTGCCCTCAAAACACATCTGGCTGCCTGATGTGGTGCTCTACAACAAGTGAGTCACTTACTCACCCTCCTGTCCTCACTTAAGATGGATCTCAAAAGACACAACACAGGCTCATTTACATGCACAACAAAAGTGCATACAACTCTCAGAAATACATGCAGGCCTGTCACACACTGAATGTGTCCTCTGTAATCTGCTCATATCACTCATGCTACATTACTATACAGTACCTCCACGTCTCATGAGACACTTCTAAAGTGGAGTCATCTTTCACACTCAGATAAGCGCAAATACATGTACAGTCCATGCATACAATCACACTTGCACAGATTTACACACATCCTAACACAAGCTGCTCTTCTTTCTTTTTAGGTTGGTAAAACGTTTGACTTTGATGTGTCCTGCATGTAGAGATGCTTGACAAATAACTGTTTTTGATTTAGAGTCTGGACCCAGGACCATCCCTTGCCGTTAAATCATATCTTTGCCATTTAGTATAATTTGTATTACTCCATTTCTACCATTAAAAATTCCAGGTCCCTGCCGCCACTCGACTGCGGTAATGTTTGCATTTACCTTGTGGGAATCAATCACCTGAATCTGAAAGCGCATCTGAAAGCATAACAACCATCCAGCATTTTGGCAACGCAAAAGTAACAAACCCAAAGTAACAGTGTATCACTTGCTTCCTGGTTGGCAGGCAGTGGAAAATAGTGTCTTTTGTGGCCTCCAAGGGAGTGTTTTCCTTGGAATGTGACGTCACATGAAAACTATGAATTGATCCCCATCCACAGCCCCATCCTTTGGTCATTGTGTATGCAACTTGTCACCTTCAAGTTCTGATCAGGTACAGTGTACACAGAAACCCAATACTTGGATGCAGGAATACTTTGCGGTGATTTAATTTTAAACGGATTCACTTAGGAATATGCACAATATAAACTATATTATCTATTATACTATACTAACACTGGTACCACCAATACAGGACTGATACAGTTTAAATTGTACTTTTTTGGTGCAAATTCCCTGACAATTTTTGCAATATATCAAATGACAGTGAATAGTGACCCTGGGGCTTTTGGGGCCGCTGGGCTGTTGCCTGCTTTGCCCAGTTGTTAATTTAGATTGTCTGGGTGATATGGTTAAAAACAAAAAATATATAGAAATTGTGTGCAAAATCAAACATATATTTAAAATGATCACATTTAATGTTCAATGCAAGTAACTATGTTGCTCTGTAATGCATTAAATAACTCAAAACTCGTCACGTGTGAAAAACAGAAACTTGTCTTGTTAGTTTTTAATTAGAATTTGCTAGCATGTCTGAGGAAGGTCAGGATGTAGCAGACCACTCTTCTCAATGTAATGGAAACTGAGTGTCAGCCTACAGTATGCAAATCAGCTCATCAGAGTACAGTGATCTGTCTGGCCTTCTCGTCTTTCCCTGCCTCACTCCTTACTTTACTAAAGATTAAAAGATCCCAGACCCACCAAGCTCTGGATAAAACTATCCTGTTAATCCCATGAACCCCAGGTCGACACACTATCCCCCAAGTCTTCTTCGTTGCTTCAGAACTCCTGTCAGTCACCTAAACAGGAGGATTAGCTCTGGATACAGCAGTATTTGCTCATTCTGAAATCTCAATTTGATTGTGTATTTGCAGAAAAGATGGTGTTACTTAGAGCGTACTTAAGCAGGTAGGCCAATCAGTCAAAACTTATGAAACATCCTCTTGCATATTCCCATCTCACAGCAGTAGCCATCATTAATTAGTTATCTTGGTAAAATGTGAGTTGGAAATTCAGCCTACAGTTTTAACATTGTCCACTGGCTAATACAAGTGTCTAATTCAAGTTATTAAACTCGACCCAGTCTGACCTGTGAGTTGAGTTTCCTGTCTAGACTGTGTGTTCGTCCTATTTCTTGTGATTGTAGAAGCAGGTGTGTGTGACCCTGCTGCCCTGAGACACTTCAAACCGTAACCTAGTGTGTGCGTATGTGTGTGTGTCCGTATTGCATAATGAGATGTGTCATGTTCTACTGTTCATGAGACTCAGAGGAAACATGGCCTCTCTTTATAATTTTTGTTCACAAAATTATTTTTCTTAAATTAGATCATCACACAAAGGTTTATGTCTGACCCTCCTCTTTTTTGTCTTTCTCCTCTGCCTCTCCATCTCTCTCACCACGTCACTCAGTGCTGATGGGGTATATGAGGTGTCGTTCTACTCCAACGCGGTGGTCTCCTACGATGGCAGTATCTTTTGGTTGCCCCCAGCCATCTATAAGTCAGCCTGTAAGATCGAGGTCAAGCACTTCCCCTTTGACCAGCAGAACTGCACTCTGCGCTTCCGCTCCTGGACTTACGACCGCACTGAGATCGACCTGGTACTCCGTGCTGACGTGGCCAGCATGGACGACTTTACGCCCAGTGGGGAGTGGGACATCATTGCCCTGCCTGGTAGACGAAACGAGAACCCAGCTGACCCCACTTATGTGGACATCACGTATGACTTCATCATTCGCAGGAAGCCTCTTTTTTACACCATCAACCTCATCATCCCATGTGTGCTCATCACCTCGCTGGCAATCCTGGTCTTCTACCTGCCCTCTGACTGTGGAGAGAAGATGACGCTCTGCATCTCCGTGCTGCTGGCTCTCACTGTGTTTTTGCTGCTGATCTCTAAGATTGTCCCACCCACTTCATTAGACGTTCCCCTTGTGGGGAAGTACCTGATGTTCACAATGGTCCTAGTCACTTTCTCTATCGTCACCAGTGTGTGTGTGCTCAACGTACACCACCGCTCGCCCACCACACACACCATGCCCCCTTGGGTTAAACTGGTGTTCCTCAACAAGCTTCCTGCCTTACTCTTCATGCGCCAGCCCAGGAACAGCTGTGAGCGCCAGCGGCTGCGCCAAAGAAGGAGGGCCCAGGAACAGAAGGAGGGTGGCCGCAGCGGGGAGGCAGGGGCTTTGATGGTGGGGCTCGGGCTAGGCAGTGCTGGCGGGAATGGAGGGGCAACATCCACAGGGATGTTTGGCAAGGAGGACAGTGACCCTTGTACCTGCTATGTGAACCGGGCATCTGTTAAACAGTTTGGAGGGGATCTGGGAGGCGCAGGGGGATCCATGGATGGTCTGAACAGGGTTAGAGAGGGCCGGGACGGGAGCTCTGGAAACCTGCCGCGAGGGAAGCAAGCAACAGGAGGTCCTGCTCTGACTCAGGCCCTCCTGGCTCAAGCCTGTCCAGGCTTTGAGGAGGCTGTAGAAGGAGTACGCTTTATCGCCAACCACATGAAGAGTGAAGATGATGATCAGAGTGTGAGTATTATATTATCTGCATGATGCCATTTACACCATTACAGTAACAGTCTCTCTTGAAGGCTATCAGAGCCTGACCCATACTGGACGTTTTTGGGTGATAGTGAGATTGATTCTGGAGAGTAATAAAAAATAGATAACAATATATCAGCTGAAGTTCCTTTTTTAAATAAACTAATTAACAAATTAAGCTGCTGTTATGAATATCTTTATATTAACAATGGATCAAGTGACTACGCATAATGTGAAAGATGTTACTTGTAGTCACAAACCTACAGAGATTATCACCAGACTCTGCATTTGACCAGTTTCATAGCGAAGCATGGAACCTTGATGCCACGGCATGGACACGCCTTTAAGTGAAATCTTAGCATTACCAATCTCGTGAGGCTTTTTTGAGACAATGTTGAGGTGGATGTAGCCAACGTGCTAGGAAAAGTACATCACAGTGTAAAACTTGACACTTCCTGTTGCCAGTAGGTGGCGCTATGACTTTAACTTAATATTGGCCTGTAGATGTCTTCAGGGCAGGACACTTATCCAACATGTAAAGTTTGGAGCAGATTTAAGAATGTGCACAACGTTATACCAACTTCCTGTTTCTTGGCGAATCATCAATATTCAATGCCACGCCACGGTCAAGCCCTTTGATGAAAACTCACAGATAGCACATCTTTTCATCATCAATGCCTTTAGATGGCTCAGAAAAAAATGGAAGTCAATCGGATAAATTCTCTAGAAGGAGTATGTTAAAGTACGCAACCTGTAAATCGCCAAAAATGACCATTAAATTCAAAATGGCTGACTTCCTGTTAGGTTTAGGGCAGAGGCTAAACCCGTGAGGCTTTTTTGTACATCTGGACATGATACATGTACCACAAACATTTCATACATTCCAGCAAAGCGTGGCCGGGGGGCTGCTTTTTAGGTGCGCTAACGAACGATTTTGCCATGCCCAAGCACAAAAACCATTTCACTACGTTTGAATTTTGTGCAAAGTTATGTGATTTTTTGTGCACCTTTAGGCCTTTAAAACATGTGATTCATTTGGCAAAAATGAATAATTCCTTGAATTTCAATCGGGCCCTAAATATACAGGCTAGAGACGGATATATCTGTGATAAATAGCTAATAAAACCAGGCTGTCAATGTATCGCCTAGGCTCTTCTCCATATCAAAATGAATTATTGTCAGTGTTGATAAAATCATAGCATAATTCATATAATTTTATGTGCATTTGTTGCTAAACGAAAAACAGCATCATGAGCAGCAGCACAGATATGTCCTTTCAGTGCCCTATCAAGTTATAGTGACTATAGAGTGGTGCAGCAGTGCTCTGCCATTTGAAACGCATGGGGGACTACACCAGAGCATAAGCAAAGGAGACAGATCTGGTGACGCAATCATAGCCCTCTGAATATTCAACACAGACATGTAATTATAGCTGCGGCATGACGTGTGCATAGAGAAAGAGTACAACTGGAAAGGCTCTGGCATAGAGGAACCAAGACAGCGGAGTAAGGGTGGTATGTTTAATTGCTTTCCCTCAAGCCATCTTAGGAAACCAGCCTCCTCTCCTGGAATGAAAGAAACTGACTCGGGAATTAACAACAACAACCTCTGTAATTCCGTCCATCATCGACATAGTTATCATCCTGTTGCCATGCCGACTGCTTTAAAATCCTCCCTCTCCTGACACAGTGCATGGCACGTCAGCCCTTCCCCTTCCCCTCCTCCTCCCCAAGTCATCATCGCAGGGGTTACAGTGTCAGCACCCTCTCCGTCTCTCTGCCCTCCATCACTCTCTCTTGCCTCTTGTGTCCTTCTTCTCCTCCTTGACTTGTGTCTGACCTCATCAGAGCTGTGTGGCAGAACGAGTCTCCACTCACATTAACCCTTCACCTCCATTAACCCCCTGCATAGGGAAAGGCAGACAGATAGATGGGAAGACAATGAGAGGATGTGAGAGAATGTGATTCTGCTCACCTTAATCTTTCTCTTCACCCCTTCCCAAATCCCTTTTGTCCCTGCCCATCCACAGGTGAGCGAGGACTGGAAGTACGTTGCCATGGTGATCGACCGCCTCTTCCTGTGGATCTTTGTGTTTGTGTGCGTGTTCGGCACAGTGGGCATGTTCATGCAGCCGCTCTTCCAGAATTACACAGCCAAGACCATCACCAGCTCGCCGGGCTGACCATTCCCAGGCTGCGAACACAATGATGGACAGCCCCCCGACCAATCAGCACAGCAGGACATGGGCTGGAGGTGGGAGGGGGGCGGGTCTGGGTTTTATTGTGTCTATTAAACTGGAACCAGAACTGGAATTGAACAGCAATCACGCCCATTACCTTTATAGTAACGTTTTTTGCAACGAACAATGTTTTTTCTTGTATGAAGAAAAAAAAGGAAAACACTACCATACTTCTACCTGCAGTTTTTTGTCCAGATGTTTAATGGACTGACCTTCCCTTTCTGGTGGAAAGGTCCCTCCCTGCTCTCCCCTTCAGCCAGTCAGGGAGCGAGGATGCTCTGATTTAGTCCTTGTTGAACCTCACAGCAGCCAATTTTCCGCTCCACACTGACTGCTTAATTGATACATGACATGCCCGCCTTCAAGTATGACATTACTCATTCACAATTTTGACTGATGTCAGAGGGAGCTAATCAGAAAGGGAAGGGAGGTTCATATCAAGGTTCTTATACATTTATTTTATGTTTTCAGAAATCCACTACGTCAGTGAACTAATTCAGTATATTTTATCATAGTGTAGCAGCTTACCACAGTATAGCATTAGGAATATATTATTAAGATTTCTTATTATGTGTTAGCTCATCTGTTGCTGGTAGGGAGGCTGCCGTGTGTTGTATGATTGTATAGATTAAACAAGAATGTGACATAAACTCTACACAGCCTGTGATGTGCACACAATATACACAACATGTGTACAAGCAACAGATTGTGGAGGAAAATACATAGAGGGGACTTGAATATAAGAAAGAGCCAGGTTGCATTATTAGATGCAAAGAAAAGGGATAAAGTAATAGATTATGCATGGACAGTTTTTTGCTTAGAAGCTGTGCACATTAAGTGTAGAACAGCAGCAGTCGGCTATGCCAGAGTGCACAGCTGCAATGAGATGAAGCTAGCTCCTGAGAAACTAAGGAATCTGAACAAAGATGGTGGATAGACCGTCTATATGATGGACTGTGGGAAATTATTTCTCCAAGATAGAGTATTTATGGAGCAAAGGTCAGTATTGGGAAAAGTAACATGTAAATCAAATTATATTGATGGAAGGATGGGAATTCTATCATGGAAATGAAGCTATTATGTGTATTAATATGTAATTTCATATTTCAGTATGTAATGTTCAGAGCATATTTATACATGTATGCGTTTGAGTGTGTGTGTGTAAGTGTGTGTGTGTAAGTGTGTGTGTGTGTGTGTGTGTGTGTGTGTGTGTGTGTGTATATGCGTGTATGCGTGCCCCATACCCCAACGCATTATCACATCTGTCAGAAACAATGTTCAGAGGAGCGTACTGTATGTGTGTCTCCCCCTCCCTTCTATTTATCTGTGGCAACCTCTCTCTAATTCTCTCTCGTTTATCTGGTCTTCCATGGACAAACACATTTCTGACATTTAGTCCAGTTAGAAAAAATAATTACCTACATTCTCTAAACATATTGTCATTTCGGCAGTTTTCCTTTTCATCGTGGACTGGCTCATATGTCTTATTTCCACACTCTTCCCTGACAACCAAGTGAGAAGCAAAATGGCTTTTGAGGCAGACAGGGAATGGAGGATGAAATCAATTTTCAATAATGGAGATGAATGTCAAAAAGGTATAGGGCAATACATGAGAGTTAATAGTACAAATGTTTTGGACTTTATTGTTATGTTGCAGCTGAGGAACAACAGACTGAAAAAAAACAGGATAATCTGACCACAGCAAGCACAATCCAGATAGCGAGGAGGAATAAAGCAGGATAGACAGACAAAAGACTGTTGTTACTGCATAGGAAAGCCACTATAAAACGCTGAAAAATGCTGTCTAATCCTCAGTAACTCGCTGTAAGTTTTCCCTGCTTTTTGCAGTTGTGTGGCCAAGCCTGCAGCTCAGTTCTGGACTGGGAGCTGCCTCTCTCTCTCTCTCTCTCTCTCTCTCTCTCTCTCTCTCTCTCTCTCTCTCTCTCTCTCTCGTCTCTGGAGGATGGGATTACCCAGGGGGATTCCTAACAGATCCCAAACAAGTGTGAAAAGCCTATCAGAGACCTGTAAAAACTGTAGGCCGCACGGCTCCACACAGACAAAGTGCTGCTGTCCACTCTTTTTCTCCCTCTTTGACCTTTACACTCTCCTTCCTTGCCCCCCCCCCACCCCCCGCCGATCTTTCACCTTCTCCTTCCTGACTCTCAAATCTGCTCCTGTGCACACCTTAACCAGTCCAATAAAGGTTGTAGGTTCAGATTAATCAAAGTATGCATCTGTGTGACATGTTTTTACTCTCACACTCACACTCACACATACACACATAACCTATAGTGTGTAAATTTCTGTATTACACAAACTTCCCATTAATCTTACACCACAGGATAGAATAAAAGAAAGACATGTTTCCTGGCTTTCTAATATTGAGGCTGGTAACTTCCTTTTTATATACTCAGAAATACACACACACACTCACACACACACACACACACACACACACACACACACAGACACACACCTACACTTTTTTTTCCTTCTAGGAAGCAGAGCATTTTAAACAATCATGGGTGTATGGCCACATGGTCACTTCAAGTTCTCATTATTCTGTTCTAAAAACAGGGATGTAGACCAGTCGTTCCCTGCTCATATACACTGTAGGGATTTTTTGGTGCAGAAGAATACTAGGATGAACTTTATACCACAACAGAGGGAACTGTCACTCATATCAACTACTTAACTTCAATCTTTTATACTATATATTATATTAATATTACATAAATAAGTACTTGCCAGTGATTGACAAATTCTATCTCCAGTCTACATCCACCCACTGCTGGAAAAAATTGTTGTACCAGAGCATGAGAAAAACATTAAAGGCCAGTCAGAACTATCTGGATTATATTGAGGGCCACTTGCTGCCACCTGGTGCTCATCATGTGTTCTTACTAATCTCCATCAGTGTCAAAAAGTACAACCAACAGTGTATTGTTGGAGGAAAGGTCACATTTATTCTTTCCAGGGAGACATTCCTTTGCTTGAATGTGTTACAAAATACATGAAAAGAAAAGAAAGAGATATATATTCACATATTCAACAGTGACAGGTGTTGAAACTGACTTTAAACTCTCCTGATTTTGACATTGCAAGAAGTACTGTTTGTAGCAGATTGAAGGGACATTTCAGACAAATACACACTCAACAGTTACTGCTGAAGTTACAATTAGACATGTGTTTGTGGGTTTGTATGTTTGTGTGTGCGTGTATTTGTGCACGTGAAGTCCATGGCAGGATGTCCTTCTCAGGTTTTCACTCCTGTCTTAACTGTTTCCTCCCTGGAGTGTGTGGGTTTGGACATCTTTATGCCGAGGGTGTGTTCACTTCTTCTTCTCTGACTTTTCATTGTACTCCAGGAAGAAGTCGTTACAGGCCACAGTAAGAGCTCCAACTAGTATGATAAACTCTGTGAAATCTACCTCCCCGTCGTTGTTGGAATCCAGGTCTCCCATCACCTTATCCACTGCCTCCTTGTCCTGGGCATTCTGCGTGTGTGAGGATTTAAAACAGAAATGTAATCTGGATCTATTTCATACACTAGTATCCCTAAGTACAACGTGTATCTCCTTACCCCCAGGTAGTTGCCGAGCTCTGCAGTAAGCATCTCTTTGAGTTCAGCCCTGCTCAGTGTGTATTTGTCCCCCTCGTTTCCAGAGTATTTATGGAAGGTCTGGATCATGAGCTGCATGGCGTTCTCCAGGGTGGAGGCATTCTCTGAGTTGGGAAAAGACATTCTGGAGAAGGATAGGACAAAAGAAAGGGTGGGAGGAGGAGTAAGCAAGAGAAGAGCAGTCCATGTTAGTATACTCCTGCCTACAAAACTCTGCTCTCTGGAGAATGAAGGACTGCTGCAAATCAATACAGGTTAAAGCCTCTCTTGGTTCCTCTCTCTTGCTCTTTCTCTTTTTTTTCTCTTAGACACCCTGCTAGACAAACGAGCGGACAAATATAGAAAACTGAATCATAGGCTACAATACGATCCCCGAGATAGCTTGGAATTGATCTTCTATGAAGTGTCTAAGCATGTCTATCTAGTGACAGGAGAGGTATTTGGCAGAGTCAGAAACCCTGCACAGCCCTGGAGTCAAGTTTGCTCTAACTGTTTCCTCATCAGGAGTGTTTCCTCCCTGCCAGCAATCCTAAAAAGATTTTGCTACAGATAAACAGATCCTCAATCTGTTTGTTGCTTTGCCCCCGCTGAGAGGACCTGTGGGAGTCAGGACACAGTCAGCAGCCGGACATGTGAGCCAGCTGATAAGAGTGAAACCCTAAGCTGGTAAAACAGCCGAACTATTGGAGAAGATATAACCAGGACACACAGAGGAAACCTGATCTGGCTTTTACTTTAGCTCCACCGGATGGCAGAAAACACCAGATACAGGTGTCAAAGTCTTTGCCTTTCTTGAACCTACATCACCTCTGAACTGTGAAGAGTTCACTTTTCCTAACTGTCAATCACAGCTTACACTAGTCTCTCCTCATGGACAGAATGTTTCAAATTCTCATGAAGCAGTGGCATAACAAAAATAAATTGGAAAGACATTGTTGGCAAGCTCTGTCTGTGCAGGTCCATTAAGGTTACATAACCTGCATGAATAGAAAGCTCTTCCTCTTTTTGTTGTTGGACTGGCTGAACAGGCAGCCCACCTGCACACAAAATTGTGCTTTAGCTACACGCCCAAAAATCTACTTTTAAAAGTAAAAATATTGAGAAACAACCTCTGAGAAATGCAGAGACACAGTTTTCAGTGTTGAGGTCTGTTCTTACCTGAGGGGAGGACAAGTGCTGGCCTGCAGGTCAGGTGGAGAGAGAGAAGGCAATAGCGACTGATGAGGAGGATGAGGAGGACAACGCCTTAAATACATCCCTCACTCCACCCATCCCACTTATCTCTTCCTTCACTCTCCCTCCTTCCACCTGTTGCACCCCCCCCACCCCCACCTCTCCCCCCACCCTCCTTCTCTGTTTACACATTAGACACCTGCTATCTGCTGAATGGACACACGTAAGATCCAACTGCCCCCCATCAGTCAGAGATAACATATCGACAAAAGACACTAATGGTACTGTAACTACACAAGACATTAAGTAAATTGAAGTACCCATAATATGACCACAAACCAAACCACAAAGGCCCTAGTATACTTTAAATGGGGTTTTGTTGTCAGTCTGCATGAAAATTAAGTAACTCACCAGGTACCAAGTGTAAACAGTGAGTTGGTTTGCAACATTCATATTTTGATGAGCTCAACACGCTGAACACAATGATCTGTTGTTAGGTGGAAATGAGATATCACTTGGTATGCCATACTTTGTTATTCTGACTGCATTATCCTACTACCCAGTTGTGGAACCATTTTGTATTTCATGTCAAAACAAAAGTGAGGTTTAGAGGGAACGCTAAAATAAATACTGTACCAAGACAAAGATGAATAATTTGATAAATCTCCAAATGTGGCTTTGTTTTAAGCAGCAAAGAGTGTTGGGGATAATGTGGGTATAGGATGTTTACCGGAGGAGAGGGGTGTCACGCCTGATACAGTATCCGAAGTATTATTGTAGCACCAATGAATGGAGCCATCACACCTGGCAGTCATGCAAGAAATCCCCAAACAAAGACTTTGTAAAACACATACAAAGGCAAACATGCCAATGCAATGACACAGACACATGCACACACTTTCTCAGTTCAAGCTCAAAGACACACAACATGCATGCACAAAAAAGGTTCAACTACAGATGCATACGCAAACCTTATATAGTTTGGGTCATGTATCCACCAGACTTAAAGCAGTTATGGATACAGCGAGTGAATGCAGACTAAACACAAGTGACAGAAAAACATATACTATTGCACACTTGAATGAATGATCGAGAAGGTCACACATATCAGAGCAAAGAACATCAACATTAATGCCCAAGCACCATCAGTGCAAGATGTCATGAAATGTATGTTTGATCTGCCGTCCTGGTAAGTGCATCTTCTTGTTTTTGTGTCATTGCTAAAGTGTATTTTGTCAGTGAGTGCAGCAGCACAGTGTGCACCATGTGTGTATGTATAGTGTTGCAGAGTGGAGGACGGTGCACAATAGGAAGCGTATACTGTATGTCGGGATCTGGTTGCAGTAGTTGATGCATATAAAGGCTACCGAGTTTGACTGGTCAGGGATGTCACAGCTATATTTAGCAAGTGTTGTTTGTAACGGTGCCTGTGGGACAATGTCAGATCATATAAGAGAAAACCACTGCAGAATTTTAATGCATGTTAAACGGATAACGTCAGCAATTAGACACTTTATGAAAATGAAAATGCAACTAAAGAAAGATGGAACACAAATTAAAAAACTGCACACAGTATAGTTTATTATATAAAGCTTTTATTTTTAAAATACAGTAGGTATCCTTTGTCTAATTGGTATTAAAAAAAAGACACTCTCAGCTCAGAGTCCTTCAATGTGTCATTGACATTGGAGATCAATATGGTGTGACAGAAAAAAGGTTGATCTGGACAGACACGATGCTGTAGTTCAGGGCATCATAGAACTGGTTGATTAACTATGAAAATGATTATGGGCTGTTGGGATGTATACATGATGTTTGGAACATTTGGAAATGAGAAAAGATAATAATTTGTTGAGGCACCAAACACTGCAGCTTCATAAGCGTCTATGATGCATCTGTGTTGGATCCGCTCTTGGTCTGACTGAGGGAGTTGGCTACATAGCCGATCAGAGTGAGGTATTCCTGGAAGCTGACCTTTCCATCGTTGTTCTCATCCAGTCCCCGCTGCATCTCCTTAATGGCAGAGGAGCTGTTTGTATCCTGAAGACAAAGGGATCGACAGAAACAGATGGGGAAATACTGTTAATGTTAATATTGCTCCTCATGAGAAAGGAAGAGAAAAAAATATAATGGAGAACAGCAAAAAGTTGTCTAGTTCCATACCTCCATGATGCCACCAAGCTGTTTATTTACCAGTTTCTGGAAGGATTTCCCGTCTAGGTTCTCCTTCCCCCTGGAAGAACTAATAAATGTGGTCACTACAGTTTTAATGGCTGCCTCCATATCTAAAGAGAGAAAGAGAAGGGCAAAAAGCGAAAAAGGAGAATTGAGTGTAGGAAGTGGCAAGGAGAGATATGGTCATATCTTAGACAAACAGACATCATGCCGTTGGATACAGCTCCCATGAATTTTATGAATATGAATACATATTTGC